AGACTCAATCCTTTGATGATATTAAGCCTCGTAAAACTGATCTATAAAGTCAATGCAATCCTAGTCAAAATTCCGCAAGCCTTTTTTCCAAGGCAATCGTAATATTCATGTGGAAATTCAAAGAGGTTACAAGAGGCAGAGGAAGAAGACGGAATTTGAAAGACTTGCAAATTCTCCTTAGGAGACTATTTGAGAGGGATGGGTAACCACAGCACTGTTATTGGCGAAAAACTTAAAAATAAAACACAGGAACAGAGAATCCAAAAATAGACCCACCCACCTATGTGGCACCCTGACTGATGGCCTAGGAAATATGAAAACGCAGCAGGAAATAATAATTTTTGTCATACACCATGGTAAGTTAATTATAGGTCCCCGTGTAACAGCAATGAAAGTGGAGTCCAAAATCACTCTTTCCGTCACAGAGATTTCAGGTGGATTCTAGACTTACCAGGGAAAGGTAGAAACAATTAAACTTCTGGAAAACATCCACGGTGATGACCGTGGTTTACAGACAGGTTTCCTAAACAGTCAACAACACATACCACACTCGTAAAGGGAACAGCAATCAATTGAGGAACTTGTATTCATCGAAGGATGCCATGCGGGGATTGAAAAGCCAAGTGACATCGTAGGAAAAAAGTATATTTGACACCCCACTGAACCTATGTACCACCTGTTCTTTACCCATTTGTCTATCCACGGACATTGGGCTGAGTGAGATACGTCCGACCGAGAGGCAGGCAGACATCATAGGATCTCACTGAGATGTGGAATCTAAGATCAAACATAAAACGAGCAAACAAAACAGAAACAGACGGACAGACGTAGAGAGCATTTTGATGGCTGTCAGATGGGAGGGAGGACAGGATGAAAAAAGGGGAAGGGATTAGGAAACACAGACGGGCAGTTACAAAACAGTCCCGGAGATGTAAAGTGCAGCACAGGGAATCGAGTCAGTAATATGGTCATAACGATGGATGGTGCCAGGTGGGGACTAGACTTATCGGGGGGGGGGGGGGGTCACTGCATCAATTATATAAAGGTCTCACCACCACGCTGCACACCTGACACTAAATAACCTTGTATGTCAGCTGTGACGGAAAAATAAATGTTTTTTAAAAGCACGAGGCGACATCCCGCACACCCTGTGGGGCCGTTTTCGGATTCTCGCTGCCTGCGTTTGATTTTTCTTCCTTTTTTGCACCAATAACATTGCCCGTGGAATGTTGTCCTTTCCCAGGTTACTGGAGCGATGACGCCACCGGGGGCCACCTTCCCAGGGGTGCGACCACTTGGCAGAAAATCCTTGGCAGCATCGACCCACACGTCAGGGTACGCAGGCGTACGCCAGCGGCCCAGCACTGGCCGTGCCCTACACACAGGGAGACAAAACACGCCTGTTCCTGGCGCTGTTGTCTGTGCCAGCCCACACTCAGAAGGGTCCGTGCACAGAACAGGCCGTCAGCTGTGTCTTTGGACCCTTCGACGACACGCAGCCCATGAGAGTGAATAAGCGCCTGGTTCTTTCATCAAGACGGACGGACCCCACAAACAACCCACACCGGGGTGATTTCACGTATCAGCTCAGAAGCACACACACCAGTTCACCCACAGCAGTGACAGTCACAATAGCATTTCCTGCTGGCTGGGAGGGCGCATGGGGTCCTCCGGGGGGTGCGGGGGGGGGCACTTTCTGGGTCTGGATGGTGGCTTTGGGGTTTCTGTTTCACTCCGGGAAGACTCAGCAAGATGTATACTTACTGTGTGTGCCCTGTTTTAGACATAATGGCTCCACAGTTTTGCAAAAAATAAGACGTACTCGGAACAAAAGTTTTTTAAAAAAGAATAATTAAAAAAAAAAAGAAACACAAAGATTTTTAAAACAAATTTTTTGGGGGGGACTGGGTTCCAGCTCCCCAAAATAAACAACCCAGAGTCCGTCAGTCAACACGTGGCCCACAGGTGGCAGCGATGGTGCATAACTCATTCCGGAGGCGCCCTGGAGGGTGAGATGCTGAAATACACCGCCCATTCCCTGAAAGCAATCCCCCTGGTAAGCGTCACGCCATCACGGCTTTTAGAGACCCCTGCTCAGCATAAAATAGCCAAGCAACCCCGAGTTTTTCCTTTAAGTCCATCCCCGCAACCCAC